CGAACACGTTGGGCGTTGATGTCGTTCGATATGTCCGAAGCTTGTGCTACACAGACACAGCGTATCGCCACAGTCGAGAAGTGCATCGTGGAATTAGGCATTGTCCGCTATAGCATAAAAGTCAGAGCGACAGGTCCGGGTTGGACATATCGAGGAACCGGTGAAACAAGTTGAGACTTGCACTAAGGAATAGCTTCACGGGAAGGTCGGGTATGCAAGTAATTGCAGAGGATGTACAGTAGTGAGCTGAATGGTGTGCATATTTGGTTGATGTGATTATTGATTACCAAGTCTCGCAAGGCAGACAGTCAAGATAAAGTGCATATTACGGTTCTAGATGCTTCGTCCGTTGGTTCGCCAAGTCAACGGCAGTTAGGATTAACGTGGTTGAAAATGCGCATAAAGTGAGATTGAAGCATAATGACTCCTTGGAAATGAGTGTGTCAAAGGTGTAGATGGCGGTAACGCAATCCATTTACACCGCGTCACGGCCCATCCCATCTTATGCACGATATAGTCAGCAGTTTGATCGAAAAACGCCCTAGTTGTATTGCAACTCTATATGTGAATATGTCGGACATATGTGATGCAGAGGTAGAATGACCCAGTCTAGAAGTGCATGTGCGGCGCAGGCTGTTGAAGGATGGCGTCCATGAGTTTCTATACGTCGAGACACAATGCGACAACAAAATGAGGCGAAAAGTGAGCATGTTTCACGTTTAGTCGTTATGAATTCTGTATGAATTCTGAGACATAAATACGGGTAGTCTTGATTTGAGACAGCACAGCATAGCAACACATAATACAGTTGGCGATAGTACAAAGTCATGTCTTCCTCGTGGCCGTGTGACCTGTCAAGAGCGTTCAATATATCAATTCTTTCCGATGGCGGTACAAAAGTCGATGATCAGGCAACTAGCCGCCTGTCAAATGAGGTTACGCTGAGACATAGAATTCTCTTTTTGCGATGGAATATTCAAGGCGTTTCTCCTTCACACCCTCAGTTTATGTCTGCTAACTTTGGCCGGGCGCCCGAACATGGCTGCCTCGTGGATGCCTCGTGAGGGGTCGATCCCTTTGCTTTTTTTTTTTCTTGGGCTGAGGGCGACCGGCTACTCTTTTTGTTAATCCGAGTATTATATGTAGCAGTGTTAAGTGCTAGTCATTGGTGTACACCAACGACATTCATCAATGGTCGATAACATCGTTTGCCTCAAAATGTATCTCTAAGAATCGGAGCATTGATACACGTAGAGCATGTCTCTGTACCTTTGTCCGTCAATTCAGAAGGTAACCAGTCGGTAGAGATTCAGGAGGAAATACTGACTTGTTGTCTCATCATGCCTAATGTAAAGTACCAAGATCTCGAGTGATACAGTGTCTTCCCATGGGGCCACTAAGCCTGCCATTGATATGTATTTGTCTAGAGACCCAAATAGATACGTAAACTTGTTGTCTTCAGCGCATTGTATGACTGGTGACATACCAGGAGAATGCTGTGCCAAGTCTAGACTCTCATTCTTACTCCATTCAATGCCGTCGGTGAGTCTCTAGGTGTCCTTTTCAACTGCCTCGTCATTCTCGTTCGAGGCCGAGTTCCTCAGCCCAACAGAACGCGTAGGTCCTGTCGCCTTCCCAAGAAGCCACGAATACCACTTTTCACTACTCGATTGCTATTTTCAACCCTTTTTCTTTTTTCTTTTTTTTTTCTAGTTTCCAAATCGCACTTCTTGTTCTCCCGAAGCGTCGGCGCCGTAAACAGATGAGGCATCTCTTACGAGTTGCTCAAGTCAGCAAGTGAGAGAGCACATCTGTGCAGGATCAGGGCAAAAAGATCGAAAGGATGTCGATTATATTCGTCTTATTCTAGCATGATAGACATAGAGTTGCTGGAAATCCCATGTATGGGGACTACGATGCATCCGGATTGATCTTCTGACTATCTCTTTAAGCGGCATAAGGCTCCGGCAGGTCACTCGCCCCACCTTGCTTACTAATAACACTAGTACCTGCAGGGTATATAAAGTTCTTGTCAGATAGCTTCTTCATTTACTACAGCCAAAATTATTAAAATCCTTATATAAATTAACCCTAATATATCTTAATTAAAATAATAAGCTCCTAAGAGATACCTAATTATATAGATAATTATAGCTTTAATACCCTGCCTTTAAGGGCAGCTAATGACCTTACTGGCATGCCTATTTTTCTGCCTAAAGAGGGCTATAATAATAATTTTTAACCTTTTAACCTAGAATATTATAATTTTAAGATTAACCCTTTACTTAAGGAATTACTTAAATTATTCTAGCTTTTTATATCTATTTCCCTTATATAATTATAGATTAAATATACTAATAGCTAGGTTATTTACTTACTTAAAAATGCTATTATTAATAACTAAAATACCTCCCTTTCTAAATAGTCCTATATTCTTAAGTAAGAAGGCATCTCTACTATAATAGCTTATATATAGCTTAAGGTCCTTATTTACCTAAGAATTTATAGGGAAATATTAATTAAAGACTATTAGAAGTCCCCTAGCCTAGGAGATTAGCGCCCTCTTTACTTAATTATTAAGTTTATGCTATTATAGAAGTTCGAGCTAATTATAAGGTATTTCTGCACTTTTAACTATACTAAGCTTAATATAAGGGATAAGAGTAACCTTCTAAAGACCTTCTAAGCGGCTAAAGAGTAGTCTAATTATATATAAAGGGTATTTATTAAGCTTTATTTTCTAAGAATTAATCTTACTATAAATAAGTATATAATCCCTTTTATAGGCAGATTAAAAAAGATAATAGTTATTAAAAATAAACCTATACCTATAAGGTTTAAAGTCTAGGTTATTGCCTAATAAGGCTTCTTTCTGCAGTAACTTTAGTATATAAAGGCATTATTATATAAGGCTATTATAATTAAGCTACCTATATTAATGCTATATAGCAAGAAGGGAAAGCTATAAACTGAAATTCCTCTTAATAATATATAAAGTATTATAGTTTACCTACTAAAAAGGCTATTAATATAGATATATTATATCTTTATAAATAACCTCTTCTTATTATTATAGCTCTTCTGCCTTCTTTAGTAGCTTAGCTATAGTATTATAGGCATAATATGCCTTAACTGCAGTATTACTACTAAGATAAAGCATATAAAAGAGACTAAAAAAGCTCCTAATAGTATAGCTTTATAATATAATAAGGTATATTTAATCCTAATATAAGATAAATAGGTATAGATAGCTTTACCTATATTTCCCTTACTAATTTATCCTTTTTCTTTCTCCCTAGGTTATCTAAATCGCTTAGAAAGATAGTAATATTATGCTTTTCCTTTTAACTATACTTAGCAGAGCCCCTTATAAGCATATATTAAAAAAGAGAAAAAAGCCTGCTAAAAGAGGCACAAAGGCAGAATTATAGCGCCTGCAGCAGGTCTTTAATAGTAATAGCTTTAAGATAATCCCTATTCTTACTATTACTACTTAATATAATAATAAAATAAATTATATTAACTATAATAATTAAATATAATCTTATATAATATATTAGCACTAATTCTAGCGCGGTCTTTAGTAAGTATTACTTTAGTCTTTCCTCCTTAAAGTTATACTTATAAATAGCTTCATTTTATAGAAGAAAACACAGCAGCCTTATTAAAAGCCCTATAGTATACTTAAAGCTTAAAAAGAGTATATTTATAATGCTATTTTTAATAGATATATAACTAAAAGTTATATAAGGAAGAGAGGCTATATAGGAATAAAAGAAGACATTAAGGATACAGAAGCACGGCAAATTTACCTATAAAGAGATATTAATTATATCTATTAGGGCATACATTCAAGCTGCCTAGCTTATAAAGGCTTCTAGCAGGGTCAAGCCTAACCCTTTAAAAGGAAGAAGGAAAAAGGAGGTTATCTATAGCTAATATTAGGAAATAAATAAAGGGTATAGACTATATATGGCTGTAAAGTATATAATATAGCTATTTATAATACGGCTGACTGCTAGTACTTCTATTACATGCAAATTTAGGTATGTAAGAATATACTTTAAGTAGCGCTTATTTTGATAGGTCCTACACCCCTATCGTGACCCCGCCGGAGCTTTATGCCGCCTAAAGAGATATGTAACTCGTTCATTTCAAAGAACACAGCTCATTGTGCTGGTAAAGATCCATCAGAATAGATTCGCGTTCGCAGCCTATACATTCTCTTCAATTTTCACTTCCCTATCGTCCATACCAGTCTGCCGGGATTGATGAAAGTCCCCTTCCTCCTCTCCCATGATGTTGAGATATGACATGACCTGCCTCGAATCTGGCAAGGGCACGAAACAATACAGCAACATGTCGTCCAGGGCCTTTTGAAGCCTCTTGGTTCTGAGGATTGACGAAGAGACGGGCTCAGACAGAGACACAGGTCAGTACATGTCAGGCTACAAGTTCAATCGTGACTCGGAGCTTATAATGAGATGCATTGTGGTTGCTATACTCGACCTCTTAGGATATTTCAAAGCAAAATTGAATGTAGCAAGTGGTATTGATAAGCTTGTAATTAGATTGTCAATATAATTATTGAGTTCATTTTTGCGTTGAAGAGGTTAAATACTGACAATTCAAGCCTCTACTGCTAATAGTTCCTGGCACTTGCTCTTGACTCTATGAATAAATCATAACTGAGATTTAAAACTCTCACGAGACTTTTTAATTGATATTTCTGTCTCAGTTAGAATTTTGAGTCTTGATTCTCCCCTTGTTGACTTTGATCCTGCAAGAATTCTCTACGTATAGGCATATTTCCATCTCGAGATTTCTTCACAATTCAAGAGTCCAGATACCAAGCCCACTGACCGGCTGTCTCATATCAAAATCACTTGAGCTCAAAGTAATTTGAAGAAGCTTGGCAGAACTGGTGACCCTCGCAATTAGCAAGGATATCACTTCAGCCCTCTAGGCACCCACGCCCCATCAACCAAACGCCACCATTCTCACCAATCAACAGTTTCTTGCAGACATGGATAGCCTGGTTATATATCAAAGTAGTTGTCTGCTCATTCAGCGAAGTAGCTCAGTCAGTTAACATTATGTTACTCAACTGTACTTACCTTGCCCCCTATGGTCCCCCCTTGCTTCGTTTCTTTTTGTTCGATGTTCGATTCCCAGGTTTCGTCTTTTGCTTCAAGGTGGAGTTATCTTTTGATATAAATCAAATTCATTGGTATACGTACATGTCTGTGTCGTTGCAGCATGCAGCTGCTATACATCTACAACCCCTCTTACTGCCGTCTTCAGCATTGAGCCTGATAGCCTTGCATCACCAATCTTCATTACTATCAAAGCCTTATGCCAGATACACGTAGGAATTGCCCTCTCTTTCGATGTAATCCTTCTCAATAAGACTGTATCGTGCGTTAGCCACCACCAGAAAGTATCATTAGCGTATTGTATCACACACCTTTCAATCTCCTTCTTAATCGCCGCCGGCTCAACACTACCTCTCTTCTTTGTCAGGTTGATAACCTCTGCCACTAGCTCGCTATGGCCCATGCTCTTGCGACTTTTCATTATTCTAACGATGGCTGCCTGTGTCTCAAAACGTCGGTCTTGCGCAATTCTTTCATGCGTAGCCTTGTTCTCTTCCTTTGTCTCCTTCAGCTGGATCTGATTAATCTTGACTCTGTACTTGGGATCCGTAAATGTTTTGTTAAATGTAAACGTATCAGTAGGCTTGACATCACGACCCTTTGGGTGCTTGGTTAGCACTCGCGCCTTGCCACAAGCGAGCGACTGCAGTGTGCGATCAAGATCACCGCCTGAAAGACCGGTTCCTGTAGCAATCTGTTCATATGCCAGGAATCCATCGGCTGGCACGCTGTTAAACATCATCAGAACCACAGCCTGGTATGCAGATACAAGAAGCTCCTTCGGACCCTTGGCGAAGATACCCTTGAGGGAGCAGTGAGCTAATGAGTGCTTCCACGTCAAGGCTCGTCCTGTGTGCTTATTCTTGTAATACTTGTCAAATCTCTCGATCTGCGTAGCAACCTCATCCGGCAGGTTGAGACGAACATCGGGGTAGGTTGGCCACGCAGCAGCCGACAGGATCATGACGGAAAGGTCCAGAGGATTCTTACGCTCAGCACTGCCTTGACACCATTGCTTGAAAGACTCCATTTCATCTTTGGCAAGTTCCTGATCCTTGAACATCTGTTCCAGATTATGTGTAAAATTCGCACCGCACTCTCCTCGAAGCTTTGTTAACATGTTACGCTCAGCATCTTGGCTCGCACTTCGTCCCATGAGCAATCTCCGAGCCAAGTCTTTCTTGTAAAATGCCTCGAAGGCGTCCTTGCCCTCGATGAAGCGGAACAGCTCGAGCGCCTGATCAAGTTGTCTATCAAGCTCAGCATCCTCATCACCAGTGCTGGCTTGACCTTCTTTCTCAGCTGTCGCTCGATCTTTCACATCTGACAAAAGCTCTTTGGGTAATGACTTCAAGCCACCTCGCAGAAGCATGTCAATATATTTGGCGATCATCTCGCCGATCTTGGATGTTCCTGTGTCCCAGCAAGAAGCAGCCTTGCGGTCGTTCATGAACTTCCCAAAAGAATCCCTCATGCCCCAAAGGAAGTCTTCGTCCTTATTGAAAGCATCTCGAATCATCAAGTCGAGTGATCGACGGAGCTCTAATAAGCGCAAAACCATTTGGTCGCCCTTGTCCTTGTCGCTGATGATTGCTGAACCCGTTGATCGAATGTAGTCGCCCCATGGATCCTTCATCTTCTTTTGGATGCCTGATAAACGAAGCAAGTCATACAAAGCCTTCATTGACTCAACTTCTCTATCAGCCAGCAGCTTCGCCAGGTTGCCACCGTTGAGAAGCTTTTCTGAGTAGTTGGTGATGAGATGGGTGTGCGCAGAGTCCATAAGCTGCTTCTCCGTCGTACTATCGAGGTTGAATTGGATGCAGCGATAGTCTTCCTTTTTCAGTAACTTTTCGCAAACCAAAATGTAATCCTTGAGACTTGATGTGCTCCAAGCTTCACCAAATTCCTTGAAATATTTCTCAGATTGCTCCAAAAAGTAGGGCTCAAAGTGCTTGACATAAACCTCCAAGACATAAAGCATCATGATGGAATCTTTCAGTAATGCCGGTTCAATTTGGTCGATGCCTCTTCGATCATTCTCAACCAAATTGCAAACACCTGCGATTAGCTTGACGCCGACGGAGTTTTTATAGGCATGACTCTGGGATGGGAATGTCATCTTTCTGAATTGCTGGATCGCCATATCGTTTATAGATGCGAGATTCTTCTGTAATAAATATGTTCGGTCCAGGTAGCTGAATGTTGATCGAATCAATATCTGCAAATAGTTGTTAGCATCTCAAACCCATATAGGAACATGCAGCCTACTGTTTGTGTATTCCAAACCTTCCATTCCGCTAGTGCGCTCTTCAAAGTATCGAGGTTCGAAGCGAGTCCATTCCTCTGGATTCTAGGTAGCACAATCCGCTGCAAGTGTATATCAATTCTCTCTTTGAGCATTTGGTACACCTTCGCGGGATCCCCCTTTCGACAGACATCCTCAACACCCCTGTACAGCCTCTCCAAGGGAACGTCAGGTGTCCGTCCTGCAAAGACAGCATCAAGGGAATCCTCGAGCTCCTTCTCCGTCCGCTTATAGTACTCGGCGACCTGCGTATCTCGACTCGTGGGCGCTCGCAGGTTCTTGATAACAAGCTTCTTGGAACCAGCATAAGGCTTGAACGCAGAAGATGGCTGCGTCAGGTCGATGGTCTCGGGGAGCTTGCCCCGCGCTTTGGCGGTGGTCATTTCGAAGCGCGCTCGCTTGGAGGTGGCAAAGGGAGGTGATGCTGAGGATGATGAGTCTAACCGCGGCCTTCGCCGGGAGGGAGAAGTTCTTTCCGACGCCAACGGTTGCATGGAGTGAATCCAGGCGATATAGCAAGAAAAGAACGAGGCCTGGAACAACCGTTAGAAGAGCTGTCACGCAGGCCTCGGTTTCTCGGACTATCCGGTATTTGGTTGCGGTATTCAATCGTGAGCGGATGCCGGTTGGAGGTAAATTATCACAATATTTCTTGCTTAACAAGGTACGAAGATGTACTATCGAAGACGTGTCAAGTCAATTCTTTTGGAGATGATGGCAAGTCTGAATAATAGATGAGGCCGGGTATATTGATTGAAGGTGTTTGTATCAATGGTATGATAAGATAAGAAACTGGAGCTACTGCACTCTATCTCCGGCTTAAAAAGCGTCATCGGTTTGTATGACAAAAACAATGCGACAACTCGCAATTTGCCAAAACTGGCGATATTATGCATGATCTTACAAGACAAAAATATAATCGCAATCTTTCAATGGAACACAAGTCTAGCTACCTGGCTCCATCTAAGTTCCCTAAGTTCGTTCCCTATGAGCTTAGGGTAACCATTGGGTATCGGCAACTCAACTTACATCCAGGTATTGATAGCTTGGACTTCCTTGAGTTCTAGCAAGCATTTATGAAATCGTTATCAAATGATCACAGTGTCCTCAAATACCCTGATCATACGTAAAATGAAATTCATGTCTTGAGCTGAATCTTGAGCTACATGTGATATGCATGTATTCTCTGTGTCATGTATTATGATTGAGTCTTCAGTGCCTTACTAACTTCATGACAGATACCACATTCCTCTGTGCTTCCAAGTCGACTACTTCAAAACATGTGATCTTAAGCATACGCTGCCCAACCTGGGAAAAGGGGTTTGTTAGTTGAGAGCTCAAATGGGTGACAACTTATCAACTTACCAGAATACAATACTGCCAAATTTCGCTCGTCTGTGGCTTGATTGATCAACTTGTTTACCGTTGCAGTCACACTCAACGTCTTGGAAAGCTTCTTTCTCACAATCTCTAAAGCACGATCAGCTTCAGACGGTTCGTTGACGTGCCCTGCAGCCTTTTTGCCCTTCTTCGTTTCCGCCTCGCTTTGTTCATCGTCCATTGGAGTTTCGTCGTTGTGTCTCGCCTTTTGAAGTTTGGCGAGTCGAAGTGGTGAGATCGACCACGTGTACAACGGATCAAAACGTAACACATCCAAGATTGTCATGATTGAGTACTGCTCTTCTCTTAGAGCATCTAGTGTGAACTCGCAGCATCTTCGGAAGACGCCTTCTGTCTTGGTGATTCCCATTCCATCCACAATGTCTCTTGTCAGTCTGAAAGGGACCAGCTCCGGTACTGGCAGAATACGGCCAGCCTCAAATGCTACACCCAAGTCAATGTGGACAACTTCTCCTGTCTTGTGGTCCAGGAGAATGTTGTGCCCATGTCGGTCTCCTAGACCAAGAACGTGCCCCAGCATCGATATAGCCGCAGTACTTCTGGTGTACGCTAGTCTTTTTAGGAACCATTCATCTGGATCCATGAAGTGCTCCATAAAGAAGTATCTCATGACTGGATGGAATTTCTCCGTGACCTTGCGATAGGTACTGATTCGAGTTTCTACCGTCCGACTTTGAACCCCAAATATTTCCTTACGACATTGGGAGCCCTTCAAGTCTCTTGGGTAGTATCTTTCATGGGCGGGCATCAAGAACTCGTGAAGTGGGATCGTGTTGGGGACGAATTCAATCAGGCCTGAGGATGCAGTAAGTGGCAATACCTTGTATGTCCTGATTCCTAGGTTGCGCTGCTGAGTCGTCCTATGAAGCTTCAGCAGAGATGATACGGCCGAAAAGACCTGTTCCATGATAGCATCCTGCCGCAGGTCATCATGTCCTCCTTTGACAAGCTGTTTGTAGCGCATGCCATCACTTCCAATGGCAGTAATGATCTTGGGAGCACTGACGCCTGAAGCAATGGTCATGGTGGGCTCTAATTTGGAGATGATCGGGACCTTTGAGTAATCTTTTGTAGGGGAGAGTTCGATGTGCATAGTTGGAGATGGAATACGGTATTTGATCAAGCAATTGATGAGGTTGTGCCCGGGCGTAGACTCTTTGAGTGGGATCTTCGCTCCTGACTTGTACCTGTTCGGGTTCCGGTCCATGGCAAGGGCGTGATAGTATTTGCTTGTCTTGTCGATCGAGAGCCAAATGTTGGCTACAGTTTGCGTCTCGGCAAGGCGTTTCGCAACACGATCTGTTGCTCTGACACGTAAAACGGCAACATCATCCTTCTGCTGCGCTTTTGCCTTGGTTCCAGACCAGATCTGATACATCCCGTGATAAGGATGGTCTACACAGATTTTGTAGACCAGCTCCAATAGTAGTTTCTGGAACGAGGTGTCCTGGTCTTGCAATCGAGATGTCAACTGATTGGTGAGACCAGCAAACTTCCTTGTTGGCACATCAGACAAATGTCGCATAGCCGCCTTATTTGTAGCCTCTTCTTCTGATCGCTCCAGCCAAAGAGCCGTAAAACGAAGGGCGTCATTATTGTGTTCATCAGATGCGATAAGAGATAGGAGGTAGTTCTCGAGACTCAGCCGAACGAATTCACTGCGAGTCTGCTCGACTCGTCGCAATTCCTGCTCATCAAGGTCTAGCCATTGCTTCTCCTTGTTCAAGACATGTGAATATCTGGTTTTCAGCTGAGTATCCTTTGTACCGCTGACAAGGGTCTTCAGTTCTGACACCTCATCGCCCTTGGCCTTTTTTAGATTTTGAAGCCTTTTCAGGTCTTCCAGGCCATCTGGGTCCTGCAGTTGTTGATCACAGAACATGGCAAACTGATGAAAAACAGCACCTGCTTGGGGACCTTGGCCTTTGCCTTTGAGCTCCTTGAGTGCCGGTTCCAGGTAATTTTTCTGAATGTCATGCGGCTCTTCAAGGCGAGCGACAGAAACCTGGTACCCAATCTTCGAAAGTAAGTCAGATCGACTGACCGGCAGAGTTTGCTTTTTGAGGGAAGCATCTCTATCAATGCCTTGTAGCATACGGATGGATGTGCTCATCTGACCAAAATCCCAGAGAGAATTAGCTGTCTCGATGTTGACCGCTGCATCAACATGAATGTCTAAGGCGGCGCATGTTGGGATGAGCTTGGTGAGCCCTGTGGATATTCTTAGACTCTCTTGTGTCGCTTGGTGATAACGGTAGATCTGGGATGCGGTAATCATTGCTTCAACCTCCATTTGCCTTGCAGCAGCTGCGGAAAGCTTGATATTCGTTCGAAGGGTATTCTGCTGACTGACCATGCTCATCGTAGAGCCACGACAAGACAAGATCTGGCTAACACTACCGTACCTAATGATAATTAGTAGCATGCTCTATGAATAGTAATGAGTACTCACAGTCCGCTCCGCATCCAATCGCTTCGAGTTTTGAATTTGTCGATAAGACCATCCATCTCTGACGTGTCAGAAACGCCTATAACGTCGTCAAGCTCGGTTAATGAGGCCAAAGCTCCAAGTCGTTTCCTCAATGAAGTTGCGTTCAGATCGAGGGCGGCCAAGCTGCTCATCGTGCGAGTGAAGCCCTCATGCACAGCTGTTCGGACATTCGCAATATCGGCTGCCTGAGAAATACTTTGGTACGCCTTGTATACTGTAACCGCGTGATGATCACTTGAGGGAGCAGGGAGGTTCCAAATCCCTAGTTTCCTAGCAGTATTGAAAGTGTCCTCGAGAGCAGCTGGGGATGACTCCATGTTTTGTTGTGTCTGAAGAAGTGAGTTCGAGAGTCCTGACAATCCAAGTGTACCCAAGGCTCTGACTAGAGCTTGTTCGTCTGACTGAGCCATTGGATCTCCGTAAAAGATATGATTGTCGTACATGGCGCCTCGGAATGCAAGACTTCTGGGACCATCATTCTCATATTCCACACGAGCGACAACCTTAGAAAGGCTGGGTTCCTCGGGTAGTCCATAGTATGCGTCTGGATCATCAATATTCTCAAATATGGTAAGGAGAGTGTCGCTCATGTCCACCTCCTTTGCAGCCGAGGACCTTCTTGAGGACCGCGAGGTTTCAGGAGTAACATACTCAGCGAATAGCAAAGCGGTCTTATACATGCCGCATCGCGACGCCGTTGATGCGACCATCGCGGAATCCACCTCTAGCCAATGCGATCGGTCAGCTATTGAAGATTCTTTGGGGTACTGCTGTGTCCTGAGATACAGAAGGATGTTGATAAGAAGCTTCAGATTTGCTTTGGCTGCAGGATCAGTGCATTTCAACCAGCTCTTGATCGCCACAGAAAATGGGCGCTTAGGGGAGTGTTGTTGGTTTATCGGAAAGTAGAGCGCAAGATGAGCAACGAAAGGAAACGCGCTCTCTGCGAAGTGCTCAACTCTGGCGAGAATAGGGGCAAGGACTGAGAGAATGATTGACTCTGGAACACATTGAGCAAGATGTGCGCTCAGGGTCGGGAGCCAATCTTTCGAAGTGATCTCAACAGACCACACGTCCTGCTGATCTGGTGAAGAAGGAGGAGCAACAGGGGCTTTGTCAGACGGGGGAGATCTGTGTGAGCCCCATTGAGAAGTTATTAAGAGAGACTCCGCTAAGCTCTTCTGACAAGCTACAGTTAGTGGCTCATCCTCAAGTATAGCAGCATCCGAGACAATAGATCGCAGAGCAGCTTCGGCAAGACCAGCAGTGACAGAATCGGGGTTTGAGGTGAGGTCCTGAAGCAGGTAAAGTATTCCCATCTCTGAGCCATTTGATCCAGGAGCTATTTGTTGGTAGCGAGTAAGATGCGATTCGCGTAGAATATTGACTGGGATCTCTCCGGAAGCCGAAAACGCTCGCCCAACAACTCGTCCTGCCCATGCTAGATACTCCTCACTCAGATTTTCTGTATCGCAGCTTTTCCATACAGCCGTAGAATGCTTTACAGCATCTTGGTCAGATTCGATGATGTCGTCCTTGATTGATGCAGGAATGCTGAAGTCGCTACAAAGTAGACCGAGAGCTAGCTGGCGAGAAGAATCGTTAAGAAGCTGGTGATCTGCGCCACCGTCGTCTAAGATATCCAGCAATAGTTTGCTCTCAGCAGTACCTCTTTCAGCATTTCCAGAAGATCGAATGCGAGCAGCAGACTGTGTTATGGATTTGAAGGCACTTCTCTGCGCAAGATTCTTAAACATTGGCGAGTCATACTCTTCCAGGTACTTGCTGAACCATCCATGGAACTTTTCTGCCTTGCTCATAGTTGCTTTGAACTGACTTTCCTGGGTAGTGCTTGACTGGCTCGATTCTAGGAAGACTCGGAGCGACGCGAGGGTCGAAAGGGCATAACCAGCGAGAAATGATGGCACGTTGCTGAGATGCTTGGCACCCTGACCCAGGAGATACTGGCTAATTCCAAGTGCATCATCTGCACATTCCGAGTCTGTGATAAACTTACGGGTTGCGTTCAGAAGCATTTCTAGAGGATAAGAGTCCCAAGCGACTGACCCGGCAAGGGAGATCAAGACTCGAACTTTTCGAAGAACAGAACATGCATGCAGGGGACCTAAAGCTGGATGTACCGTATTGAGAAGCTTTCGAGCGATCGAGACAACTACAGGTGGCGTCCATAGGTCGTGAAATTGGAATTCCGTGTTTTGGCAGAGCCTGTGAAGTTCATGGATGAGATACTTAGCCTTGAACATTGGCTGTTGGTTAGCTGGTAGCTCAGCAGGTGAATGAGAAATGGCTTTCACAGCACCCATGATTTCGCCGGCGTAGTCAAGCTTGTACCTGGCAAACACCCTCTCCAGAGAATTTTCTTGGTCGATTAGGTCAAAGAAGAGGGCCGCTATATCAACAAGGTTGATATAAATAGAGTCCATATACACTTGACTTCCGAGTAACTTTTTGATGTGTGCCTCGCCTCGCTCCTTGTCCTCGCCCCCATTTGAGTCACCAAAGATCATGCTATATGCAATGGCAGTAGTGAAATTTTGACGAACGAGCTCGCCTTCAGAACTTCCTAGGTTGCGGCACACCTCTGCAAATGCCTCGTCTTGTCCTCTCATTACTGTCAAGCCAATGGCTTCGGACTGGGCAGACTTGAGGAGATCTCCAAGGGTCGCGAAACCAAAGATGGAGAATGGGATATCCTGAATCGGGTCACATTCCAACCAGGTATACAAGAGTTGTCGGGAGAACAGGCGGAACAAAGCTTTTGGTGATTCCAATTTCAGCGTGTTTGACACATTGATCAAGCATCGAGTCGCATAATGAGTCGAGTCCGATATCTTTCCTGGGGTTTCGAAAATGTGATAAGTACATCTCCGAAGCAATGTCGACCATCGGCATGCGAGATTTGACAAGACTAGCAAGCGGAATGCGATACCAGTAGTATCGAGAGGGTTGGTTGGTAAACTGTCCAGCACATCCACAAAAACTTCATCATGAAGCTTGAGAACAAAAAGATCGAAAACGCTAGCGATCTTCAGGGAGATAGCGAATTTGACCAGCATCGGTCCGTTCTTCAGGATGTAAAGTAAACATGTTCGAGGCGAATCAAGGCCTTGATCTTTGCCATATTCTGTGTTGGTTCGGAGCAGGGTAAACAATAATCGAACCATAGATGTTTGGGCCCTTGGCGAGAATATGTTTGATGTGAGACAGATCTTGATAAAATGATAATAAAGATCACCCACTCGGTCTGAAAGATGTTTTTTATCATTGAGCCAAATGGGGTGAAGCCCATCGATCACTCCAATGCAAGTGCTTAACACAACTTCGGCACACTGGTAATCAGGTTGGCCAATATACTCCCCAAGTCTCTCGATAATTGAAAGCGCGTTATCCGGGGTGACAACGAGATCAGAGGTAGAGATGTCTAGTAGCAGGTTTTGGCACATGAGCAAGTCATCGTCCGGCAAGTTGACGAGATGTTCCACATAGGCATCAGGGATGAGGCCAATCTGCCCAACGTCGTTGTTTATCATAGACAGGAAATTCAGCCGGGTCCTCGTTTCTGTATAGAAAGCCTGCATATCTAATTTCATTTGGTTGTTGAAACGTGGGACTACCATTGGCGCATGAATTGAACTTGCTCTGCTGCTTTGTGAGTCAAACTCCTCGTCAATGTCCATCAAGTCGATGCTGTTGTCATGATGCGTCTGGTCCTTTTGTTCTCCAAATGAGCTCCACATTCGAGAGAAAAGTTGAAGAAGGCCAGGGTTGTTTGCAAGAACCTTGTTGAGGCTTGTCGTATTTAGATCAGGCATAATGGGCCGGATGGCTCGTAAGATTGAATCGACAAACGCATTGGGCTCAACGGACGTCAAGGCGGAATTCAATGCTTTCTCTAGAATTTCTTTGAGAGTTGACTCAACAGACGAAGACTGAGTCGAGTTGATGTCGCTAAACAATGGTAGTAACAATGTGCCCGCCAAACAGGCCGATACAAGACTTTGGAAGCGATCAAAAGAGATTTGGATACCGCCTTCATTCATCTTCTTCGTCCATGATGTACAAAGCTCCATCAGTTCATCCAACTTAGGGTAAAAGAGTTCAAGGGTGAGTTTCTGGGAAGCGTAACGTGTGTTGGCATCCGCCAATGGTGGCGAATTTGTGGGCTTTGAGAAGCTGCAACTCCCGACCGTTGCAGGATTGTTAGGTGTATCTTCGGAGAGGAGGATGTACCGTGTGAAGGACTCGATCTCTTTGAATGAACTCCAGGTCTCTGTCAATGGGCCTCCTGGAGCTGCCGGGTGGGAGGTCAACTCCAGGCCTGTTGTTCCGCAGCATGTTCGAATGAGGTTCACCAAGTGAATCGGCTGAACGTGCAAGGAGTTATAGGATGCGAAAGCAGATTCATCTACGGGATGTTAACATGGATTTGAGTTTCAGACAACAAAACTTACTTGGGTTCCATCGTAGAAAGACCCATCGAATGATATGATGGCATGTACTTTGACTTGCGCTCGGGACTTTTGCGTTGCGTAGATGAAGTACATGGAACATCAAGCTGATAGAGGCATCACTCAAGGTGCTAGGTCCACTAACATCGGCAGTCGTAACCATGTTATTAATGTCCTGCGAAATGGTGTGATAAGGGAGAACATCTGCTTCAAGCATCTGGTGTAGAAGCACAGCGGCTGCTCGACTCGTTCCTGGCAGACTGACAGATCGTATGGCGAACCGCCAGAGCTGATGCCACATGTCCACCTGGTCATGGCAGCCTTTCGAGTAAGCAATACAGCTGAAAGGTGTCAGTAGTGTGCCCTGTCAGGATAGTGTCTAATGAAAGGGTGATCTTACCTTGCAGAAGCAATAAGGGCCCAAGAAGCTGTGACTGGGTTCTTGTCATTCGCCAATAATATCAAGTCTGGCAATAAGTCGAGAAGTTCGTCACGGCTTAATGAATTACGCGCTAAAAGAAATGGGATCAACTGCAGGGCAGTCCTGCAGATTGAGACATCAACAGCCTTTAGCTTAAGCCGGATGCGGCTCAAATTATCTTGACGAGTTCGCCGTCTTTTTCGTGGCTGCTCATCTTGTTGCTCGCCATTGTCATCTCCTTGTCCTTTCAGACGAGGCAGTGCCATGATACGTTCGAGGAATGCCAGGTTTTGGACGATAGCCCAATGTCCTTCGCCATAAACATTATGTGGCCGGAGGCCAAAAACATCCAGCTGTAGGCCATAGGTCGGTAATGAGGATAAGGCGAATGTGATGTCGCTCATTTGGAGGCGGAATGCTTCACCACGCCTTGAGTATTCAGACCAGATGTTCTCTACTAAATCTTCCAAGTCCAAGCGTATGGTTCCATCCGACGACCTGAGAGTTAAGTGCTCTATGTGAAGGTGTGTCAAGAGGATACTTCTAGAGATCTCAATTCTTAACGCGCGGATCACTTCATCCTGGGATACTTTCTCTGATCTCCACCAGTAGCTCATGAGCGGCAACAGAGTTTGCACCAGAGAGCTGGAGTGCTCCAGATCATCAGCGTGAATAGCAGAGAAAATTGCATTGATGATGGCGAATGCCAGAGTCTGCAAAGAGCCAAGACTGACTTGTTTGAGGCTCAAGACTCTGAGAACTACTGGCGTGATATCCTTGAATTGCCGAAGTAGGGGTGCATTTCCACCAACAACAAGATAGTACAGTCCTTCCAAGACATCTTTCAGTAGACCACCCTCGCCAGGTGCAGCTCGTCTCTGACTTTGGGTGGAAGGAGTTGATCGTCCTCCAGATCGACCATATCCTGTTGATCCTGGGGCTGGTGATGATCGAACCAAGGCCGGAGACGCCCGAGCTAAGACGAGGGTTGAAACATCTCCTTCATCAGGGAGCAAGAACTGAGCAACACTGAGGAAGAACCCGACACAGAGCTCCCAGGGATGGCCTTCTTTCCTGGCGAGAATCTCTACGTGAGCTGGTCTGGAAAGCACCTCGGTCAAAGCTTTGATGTAGTCCTGGAGCAAAGGCGGCACGAAATCGCCATTAGGTCCCGGAAGAACTTGAGTGATGTGGTCCACGATCGCGAGAAGTGTTTTTCGTCCAATCTTTGGGTTACCACGTCCGACTGTCATGCGTACAGCATCGGCGCATTTTGATAGCCGAGAGGTGGTGGCATTTATTGTTGTTTGAGATTTCTTCTTGTCATAGAAAATAGGTTTCTCTCGAAGGACAAAACTGAAAATAGCTTCAAATATCTCGTGGTAACTCTTGTCACCGAGGTCGGAGCTTGAACCTGTTAGAGAGGACGAAAAGGGGTTGCTCTGTGCTTACAGGTTTGTAGCTCGATTCCGTGGGTTAAGAAGATGCGCCAGTTCTAAGATGAATGTGAGTTCCTCAAGTCAATAAATACCAAAGGCAGGCATACCATCTACAGCCTTTTCTCGATCTCTGACTGAGCCGGACTTCACATCACCTGGGATCGGTCGTATTAGTAGTTGCAACCATTAAACAAGTATTAGTATCCATAGGTTACGAACGCGCTAGATTCATAACATTGAATCCATGAGACGAGGCCATAATGAGCGCGAGTGAGTATAACCGCCACAAAGACTTCTTCCTCCTTCATTGAAATATTAAATCGTCATCGGAGCTAAAGACGAGGTGAAATAGACAGTTGGTGCACAAATCCGCCAGAAAGCCCGACTGAAGATTGTGCCTGCTGTACGTATTATGCAGATATCCGATGGTCTAAGCTCGTTTGCTCGACAACCAAAGACAGTGGAGGCCAGTAAGTGATGTTTCAAGGTTCTGAGTGTAGAATAGCACAAAGAGAAGAAAAAAAACGGGATGAACTAGCGAATGGCTATTGTACGGAGAAGAACCGTGAAAAGGTTGCAAAAGAGGAACACTTCTTTGAACGTGTAATAAGCTGCAGCTACAGAAAATAGGCACCGTCCGTATCCATGGATGCTTTATACCACCAACCTGCTAAAACAAACTACCTACCTTAGGTAGAGTGTCATTAGGTGACAGAAATGCTCTATAATTGTCCACAGCTCCCAATTTTATTGCTTGTCTGCAAGACTATATGTCCCCTTGTTATCTTTAACTTCAAAAATAAAATGGCAATATGATTTTATGACATTGACTCTGTTGCTATTTCTGGTTGGAGGTCATAAATGATTAAGAGACGATTCCAAGGCCTATATTCCGTTTGTTCTTAAGCCCCGAGGTGTGCCTATTTTTTTTTTTTTTTGCGGTATACCTGAGAGCTCCCTGAGCTGGCAGGCGGCAGAAAGCTGCTCACCGCCTAAACAATTAAGAAGTCAACCAATCAAATAGCTTGACGAGCTCACCTACTGGGGAAGTCAACAAGGCTCGAAGTGAAGAATCTCAAAACCGCGACCACTAACAACCATCGACAAAAAGATTCAGTATTTGCGACACGTTACGCACCACGGTGCAAATTTCGCAGCTAGTATTCTACACTTGCTGTCGCCTCTTTGATCAACATGCGATAGTATTGAACCATAAAAATGGCCGAGATCACCGCTTTAGATGCCCTCCAAGCTTTCCATCAAGGGCTTCTATCATTACGCGAAGGTCGCGTTGAAGGCGCAGAGGCACTGGGCAACGAATTTCTCGTCCAGGTCTTTGAGACGGAACTTGGGAGGTTCTGGGATAAACCAGCAAGGAAAGGGGATAATAGAAATGCTGTAAAGTCTGGTAAGGAGTTTGTTGGCGCAACTCAAGGTTCTCTATCATCTAACTGATTACCTAGGCAAAGTTGTCATTGACGGTGACGAATACTCAATAAACGACAACTTCCAGCAAGACGTTCTCACATTTTCTGACGAAGTAGAACTCAACGAGCTCGAATCTACACGCTGTTTACTTGAATCGCAAGAGGACCCCAACACTCTGGGCCGATCCCTTCTCGAATGTGCTATTATCCGATTCCACCAGCAGCGCAAATACGTTTTGGACATTGTTAGACTTCTCCTCGAGTTGGAGGGCCTTGATGATGACCTCGCCGACACCGAAGCCCTCGAGAGCGTCAAGCTCTATGTGGCTGAGCGTTTACTTCAGCCAAGCATGGGGACAGATGCCACAAAACGGATCGTACCTAGGTGCATGGCTTCCATGAAGGAGATCAAGGCCTGGCTTCAGAAGATAGGAGACAAAATCGCCGCGGCCCAAACTCTTGGTCAAACTACAACGGGTGGCATCACCGAACAAATGGAGACTATCGAGTTTTCCAGAGTTAGCTTGATGCAACAACACGAACTGTTGGGTGTTATCCTCTGCCGGAGTATTGAAATGAGACAAGGGTCAACACAGGACTTCCTTGACTTTGTTTCGGTTCTCCAGAAAGTTGATAGGTATGATGCTCTGCTGGTTCACCTTATACCATCAATTGGGGCATACATCTCGGTGTTCGGGTCTGCGGAAGGGGGATATGACCTCATCAAGGCTCGGGAGTTGCATGGCAAACTCTTCCCTACGGATGGTCCTCTGTGGCCTTTATCTCAGCTACAAGCTGCTTTCCGTGCTTGGTGGCTTGCCGAGTATAGCGGCTTTTACGTGGATGATCCTCCAGAGGCTGCAATCCCCCCCAACACTGACTTAGATGAGGAGGATCGACAACGATCAAAAGCTTTCTTGGAATCTTTGAAAGATGGGTCATTTGACTTTCTTCTCTCCATCGCTGCTGATGTTAAATCTCCTGATTGGCATGACCCTGTGAGAGCAGGCATGCGCAAATGGCTTCAGCGAAAGTCTCCTGCACTAGCACCAGATGCGATTCCTTTTGCCGACTTCTTCCAGTTGACCCTGATGCTCCAGCTTGAAGTGTTTGTCGATGGCTTTATCTCTAATCTTCCCGATGTGCTACGAAAGCTTCGTGTGGAGGAGGATGAGCAACGCCAATCGAGTCAGACTCACGAGCAGGACCTAGACCTCGAAAGATTCTTATTGATCATTGCGTACGCTTACGAGGGCCGACCCGATGCTGCTATGAACTTCTGGTCCGATCCCGACAGTAACCTGGCTGGCTTCATGCATTGGGCTTCTCGTAGAGCGTCAACGCCTTTGGTAACAGCTTTCTGCGAGATGCTCCAGGCTATTTCGGAAAACGAGGAGTGCGCTTCTGCCGCACATGAGTTCTTGATGGATGAGGGCCACCATTCATCCGGGAAAATGAGAAAATCGCAGTCTTTAACATGGGCACAAATCTTCAGGGAGCTAGACTTCTTCTCTGCCAAAATAAGGCAGAAGCCAACACCGCCTCAGACAATTCGTTATCGAAACGAAAAGATGAGCAGTGATCAAGCAGAGACCGAACCAGAATCGGCCATGATGCTCGAATGCTACCTTCGATTAATGTCAAAGCTGGCCAGCGAAAGCGAGACAGCCAGACAGTTTCTTCTTCACAACCCCAACTATAGCCTGGTCGAAACATTGTATGAACTCGCGAGCAGTCCCATCCCCCCACGATTACGCGGCTGTACCTTTATGGCCCTACGGGCTTTGATGGCACGAAAGTCGCTTCAGGAGGGCATTCTTATGTGGAATTGCCTTGATACCTGGATCACAGGAGGGTACGCTTCTCATCCAGTCACTCGCCAAGCTCAGCAATCACCAATCGTCTCTATGGACCGTATTTTTGATGAGATTAGCAATGGCTTCGAGGACCCTGAATCTTTCATTCAACTACTACTGTCTCTCATATCTCCAGCCATCGATAGCAGTCCCCTGAATGACGGATTACCGTTCCCTGAGAATCTTGGTTCCGCTTCTCGCATGCCTGGTATCGAGGTCTATGTCGACTTCGTCATGGGACTGGTTTTTGCTACGAAGGCAAACGACCTTCAAGATGTGAACCAAACTCGCGTTCTTCGCCTTAGCTGCCTGGAGTTTATCTTGGTCTGCCTAAACACATTCAACGAGGATCTTATTATCATGGCTAATGAAACAAACATCAACGTCGATGGGGTCATCGCAACTACCGACCTAGCAACCTATGTCCGCATGCATCCTTTTGCTAGAGTGATGGAATGGATGTTCAACGACAAAGTCATGGCCGCTCTATTCAACACAATCCATCAAAAACCTGTAGATGTTGGGAACGCTGCACCTGACTCTCCCCTTATCCTTGGCATCTTACGTGCCGTTGAGGTTATCAGCAAGGTTCTTGACCTCCAGGCCACCTATCTCGAGCTAGTTCGGCCCATCATCAAGCTCCAATCAAACCAGCGCCGACCTCCTGTATCGAATGCTGCATTTGCCTCGTTTGAAGATGGCCTGGTAACTCGACTGACCCTGGTTGTTGATTTAGGCAACTATTGTGGCATCGGACACCCAGAACTAACTCTTGCATGCTTGAAGTTGCTCGAGAAGATGTCCTCTTCGTCGAAGATCACTGCTGTCTGGTCAGGCTCTAATCGACAGATGCACCGTAACAAGGCTATTGTGGCCTTGGAGGCGAACGGTGAACATGAGGCCATCTCTCGATCATTTGTCTCAGAATTGATAACCCCTCTCGAAACTGGGCGTGAGGCAGATTCCCCAGCTTATGTCACCAAAATTTACATCCTCGACTTCCTATATCAATGCCTGCAAGAGACACCTCGCAAGCCAACGATTGCACACTTACTTCTCGGCTTCAAGTGCGGCATTGACTCTCTGTCCGTGGATGCTAAAGGCGCCTTCGCTTCGAGAACTTCTCTCTTCCACACATTATTAAGACTGCTCTTAGAGGCTCCTTCTGGCGATGCCCAAGGAATGCGACAGTGGCTCATCGCTATTAAATCACGTGTTATGCGCATTCTACACATCCTTTGGAGCTCCCCCTTATCTGCACCTGTTGTGGTCGAGGAACTTCGTGAGAATGAGATCCTCTTCCACCTTTTGTTGCGCGAAACAGTCATCAATCCTGAGCTCCCTTGGGAAGGTGAGAATGTCGCCATGGTGCAGTTTCCTGTGACAGATGGTGCTGTGGCTTTAATCGACTTCTTGTCTCTCCGAAGTATGGGCCTGGAATACATTGCTATGGAGCTTTGCAGCATAGCCCAGAACCGTATGCCCAGCGTGAAGCGCCGCATCTTTGAGGCTCTGAACGGTCAGATTATTGGAGAGGGAAGCACACCTATACCGATTCCAACTATATTCGACCTCTATGACTTCCTCCTCCCAGAGGGCGTCTGGGAAATCCCATTACCCCCTCTTCAATACTATAAAAGCATCGATCTCTCAGCCTGTTTAGAGAACGACGCTGACTCCAACCCAATCTACAATCTCGAACGCGTTAAAGAGGTTCTGCTTTTGAAACGAGGTGAGACTCAAGGATCGGGGGCGTTGATTGCAGCCCCAGATCTGGCCGCTATCGAACGTGAAGAGGGCATGATACTAGAGTACCTCATTTCTTCAAATCGACAGAAGCAGCTCACAACACAGAGCCTCAAGGTGCTGAAGACATGGACGAAACTTTTACTTGTTATGATTGAGTCGAACGACTTCAAGGGCTCAGCACAGACCTCTTTCTTCCTGCAGGCCCTACAATCGATTTTACCCAGTTT